TTCGTTTGAGAGGTTTGATATTTTTTTAATTGGACCATATCAATGCAAAATGTGCCGCTAAATTGTAGTCAAAACGCCGCTTTTATATAATTTACGCCGTAATATCCGAGAAACCGTTTCTTGTATAAGTATTAAGGTGTTGTATGCATAAAATTTAACGGCAATAGAGGATTAAAAAACTCTTTATGTGGATATACAGAAGAGTAAATTTGAAGAAAACAAAACTATCCCGAAAACGGCACAATTTTAGCTCGTTTTTCTCGAATGAAAACAACGCAAAAACTAATTTATTAATTTGAAGTTGGCCTCATCAAGCTCGTAGACGTCAGCCGAAAAAAGTAATCGATTACAATTACTCTCGGTTAAAAGGTATTCAATTATAGTAGTTCATTACTTGAAAAGCAAAAAAAAATTGGTTGTTACTTGAAAAGTAACGTTTGCTTCTCCCATTACTTCCCATTTTGAGAACAGATTTTTCTGCCGGTCTGAAAACGGGTCTTTCGCACTGTTATTTTATTTGAATCCGCGAACTACAAAACTGCTCCTCAACCCACCAGTTTTGTAAACCATCCTCCTGTCCAAGACTTGGTTCGATGATTCTTTGGAAGGAAACTTGCAGAAAAAATGGGCGCCGTAAAAAAGGGAGAGAAAAAATAGTATCGCTTACGAGTAATTTTAGTACTTCAAAAAGTAATCAGTTACTCTCGCAATTATACCTCGAAATAAATTTCTTCGAATTATTACAAAATTTCTCGGAAAGGTGATCCATTATAAGTAATTTGGTTATTTGCAATAAGTACCGTATAAGTCCGGGCCTTATACTTACGCGTGCACGCCAATAAATATAAATAAAACTTTGGCATTGCTAACTAATAATTTTTTCTTCCTCGTACCAAGTATATCGCTTTTTTGTGAGCTTCAAACAGTGCTGACGTAAGTAAAAAAACTTTTTTTCAACGCAGATTTTTCTGGAAGTGACTACTGTGCTTAGACCGAAACCCAGCGAATGTTTTCGAAAACCTCGGCGAGGGTCGAGCATCACGCCTGGGACGTTTGGCACGGAAGGACCCAGTGGGGTTTACGTGCCGAAGCAACGAAGGGCATCTCGTAAATCGAGCAAGGCGTCAAGAACCGGATACTATTACTGCATCAGGAACTATATGTGCGTGTGGACGATCCAAATAAAGTGAAGGCTAGTAATTACTGTGATTTGGGATACAGGGTAAAGGTGTGCGGAGGTAAACAAAAACAAATAACGGCCGAACTTCCGAGGGGGAGTATGGTACTTCCAGTTGGCTATTGTTTTTGCTCGTCTTTGAGAACCCTCAGAGAATGCGCATACTTGAAAAGTCTCACTGTCATGTACTAACTGCGGTGCCTCCTGGGGTTTACTTAAACGGGGTATACATCCCTTTATTTGCTCGGGTGATAAGAAAGAGTACTCGCTCTTCGAGGAAATTACAAATCAGCTGAGGGTATCGTGGGCGCATCTTCGGGAATTCCTATTTCACTAGCTCTGTCAATATACCTGAGAACGACTTAAAACCTACAAATCTCTAAACGCGTCCAACTACTTCGTGAACGGCAAGGCGTCGGCGGTAAGCACATACCTCCCCCCCGGCGCCCAAGATACGCCCGAGCTGCCCCGCAAGGGTTTCCGAGCCGGGTCTTGGTTTTAGCAAAAAAAATTTTTCCAAAGTTTTTAATACGCTTCATTTAGCGCGACGCGAGTCTCTGTAGTCCACAATTTTCTAGTGGTTTGACTCGCTTCCTTTCAATTCGAGGTTTCTATCCAAGATAACTCTGCGTTTTGCCTTTTTTCTGCGGTACTGCGTTTTGAAAAATATTTCAAGTGGCTCTCAAAAGCAGCCACGACAATGTACCCAAAGGTTTTTGAATCTTCTTCGGAGAATGACAGCGAACCATCAGAAAACGTGTCCTTCAGCACGTAGCAAGCCCAGACTCTGCAACGCTTTACTCGGCTGATTACACGCAAGCCCAAGATGGCCGATTCAAGAACTTTCAGTGGCCGCGTTCGCAGGGCGGGGAACCACGATTCAGTAAATTGTGATAGCGATGAGTAGTTGAAATCCTCCTTCAATACGCAATACAATCTCCTTTTTTTTTGTTTTTTTTTTTTTGTTTTTTTTGGGGGGGGGGGGGGGGGCAGCACACCGTTGGCGAGATAGGTCACGTAGCCTATGCTGTGCTTGTCTCCGGTGCTCCATTAGCCACCGGTGGATAGACCCCTTTCACAAATGCGGCCTCCGACGGTGGGTTTTTCGTCAGTTTTGATTGGCACGATGGGATAGCGAATCGCCATGTTTCCTTTAGCTTGCTCCGTGATGAGTTGGTAGCCATTTCATGCTGTTGAATCGGAACGTCGTGCGTCGTCATTTCATGATATTTCGCCACAAGCAGTCCTCGTCCGTAGTGACGCCGCCTACCCCACGGCAAATTAGAGGAGCGACTTGATGCGACTGTCCAGGATTTCGGCTCCGGACCTCGCTGGCCTAGCGCCAATCACAGGGAGAGCAAAATTAGCACATGCGGTGCTCACTCTGCTGTCTTGTGGGTAGCGGACGTTCCGTCCTCGTACGCGGGGAATGTCCGTAACTCTGCTTCCGACAACATGGTGCATGTCCTCCCTCTTATGTATGACTATGAGCATTGCGGGTATTTGTCTCATTCGAGCCTAGCAAGAACCGACCTGTTTGCTCGTGCCCCGATTCAGCATGGGCCTCGTATCACGCACCTAGTTCGTTCTGGCTTCCAAGCGTGGTCAGCCACCACTACTCATCGGCGAGCGTGAAATGCCTGGCAGAAACTGCGTTGTTGCGTGTGTAGTCTGTTGGAGGCCTAATCGTGGCGGCGTGTCTTAGTTCCTCTGCGCGGCACTAGGGGCGCCCTTTTACGCATGGGGAGTATTTCAGCTTGGCACCGCAACGGTACAACTCCTAGTGAAGATCTTGGGAACAAACAGCGGCCCAAATGAAGCAGCCTGCCTAAATGACAGACTTAGAGAACCCATTCGTATTCACTCCGGGCCACTGTTGGGGGAGTTGCTGCTTTTGCGCTGCAGGGGCTGCAAGTGACAGCCTAATTTTAGTGAAGTCACTGTTTTGGATAGACATAGAGAAATAGTGACGAGGGAAATTATCGAGGCCTTTTTTTATCTCAGAACTTGGCGGCAGATTCGTCAGCGAACCGTCAGTTGCGTTATCTGAAAAAGAATTCGGGTACCTGCGATCGCCTATGACGGGCATCACGTAGCCGCTGATTTGGCCTATCTCGAAATAATATGCTGCTTGGTTGGCCCGTGTGTGTGTGTGTCTATTTTTTCTGATTAAGGTGTTTCTTGTTTTCTTCCTTCCCCCTTTTGGGTAATAAACAACACTTGTTAGTTCAGCGCCGTCCTGTCGTGTATGTGCCTTTACTATTGTCCATATTTCTTTGCCGCTGTTTCTTCCCAAGATGTTACCTCAAACCAACTAGCCCAACACGACACATTCTTGTACAACTTCTGATTTGTACAAAAAGCGCGGGTTGTGTATCGCTTCGAACATTAGACAAAGGTTGATGGCAATGCAAGCCTGCGTTCGTTCCCCGCGAAACTTGGATTGTAGCAGACGGTTACTCATTTTTCAGCTTCCTTAGCGAATGAATTGAAGGTTTTGTTTTATTTTTGTCTGCTAATTCCGCTTTGTAGCAGACAAACCACGTTTTTTGCTTACGTTATCAGACGAACCATCCGTTAACGGCTGGTTCGAACAGCGCATTCGTTTATTCCATCGTTGAATATGACTGTAACCAAAACATCCCGTTTTTTTTTTTTTTTTTTTTTTTTTTTTTTTTTTTTTTTTTTGCGGTTACAATATTTGGTTTTAGCAAGGCTAACGCGAAATAAACCCACTGATGAAAATCGTTTCTCACGTCTACCCCTAGGAGACTATTTTCAGTTTCTGGTTCGTCACGAGAACCGACCTGCCCTCTTTCAGCATCTGGAGCAACCAAAAATATTACTATTTTTTTTTTTTTTGTCAAGCAGCCTCATTATACGGCTCTCGTCAGCCCTAATGGGCGTTAGGTGTCTCCGCTGTAGATAAAAAAAAAATGTAGCCATCGCAGTACAGCGTTTAAGGTGCATTAATAAGTGGCGAACAAGCGACAGCACTGGCCCGGCGGAACGTTTGTTTGACGCGCAGTGCAACAGCTTATTACCGAAGGCATGCGACGCCAGCTAATCCCGGAGATGACCGCGCTCAAGTGAAGCCGTGATTGGCTGGAGCCCGATCGGGTTAGGCCACCTTTTCGACCCGACGAACGGCCTGGTCTGGCTTCCAGTAATTAGCCCCTAATGAGGAACTGCGCAAAAGGACAGGGCACAAAGTAGAAGAAGGACACAGGGCATACGCTGACTAACAACCGAAGGTTTACTATAACTTCCACGCGCGCACAGTGGCCCGCACAAGCACAAGCTCTTCTTTCTTTTTCAAAAGAGATAAATGCTAATAAAGAAAGAAACAGCGGCACTAGAAGGACGTAGCAAAACGCGTGACCAGAATAAAGATTTAAAAAATATATATATATTAAAATTCTAACAGCGGCACGAGAAAACAATAAGATCATGCGCTGCGTGCACTCCACGTTCGCACCACGTGCACACCGCATTCAGGACACAAATTAGACCTTTACAGCTCGCGTGTACAGTATACTAAGGGCGGTCACATTATGTCGTGCAACCAACCAGCCCAGCAAGGTATCCTGTTAATTAGCACCTGTTGGGGGCCATAGAAATAAATTCAAAGAAACAAATAAAGAAAGAAAAAAAAAGGAAGAAAGAAAAAACGAAGGAGAGGGGTTTCGGGGGAATACGTCGAGAAGATGGACATGTCCACGGCCTCTGATTAGCCGGTAGCTGCAGCAAATTCATAAAACACCGATGAAAATCGCGTGCCCCTTCTAAATCAGGAATGCATCTTGCCACGAGCGTCACTCACCTGGGAGGTGCTCGAAGTGTCGTCCGAGGAGAAGCTTAGCCCGCGAGAACGGCAGATCTCATCGCGGCACACCAGGCCTGGCTTCTGGGAGCCGTCCCCGCAAGGGTGACGGGCCAGCCTTGGCTGCACACGGCTCGTGAACACGTCCCACCTGCCGGTGAAAAGCCTAAACTTTTCTCACATTCGTGTCACCTTGCTGGCGCATGCAAGGTGCAACCGCAGAGGTTCATCCAGAATTGTCAAACTGGGGCGTGTTACGAATTTATGGAAGGCGATTTAATAGTGACAATTCGCGTTGAACATCGTCTCTATTATTACGGAGATCAAAAATAAATTACGGTGACTGTTTGATCCTGCAAATTACCTGGGATTTTTTTTTCTTCCCTCCAGTATGTACGATCACCTGGCCGGACAGTATCCATATACTCTTGAAGATATGTATTTGTCTCTTAGTAGGGAAATACACTTACGATGTATCACTGTATCGCAATACATTGCCAGCCATAGGCATCTTGTTACGTTTCTTGAAAAATTAATTGGCAGGTGTTTACGATAAAATGAAAACAACCTTTTCGGTGAACCCGCCCATGATCCCGTCTGCAAGAGTAAGAGTGGGATGAAGCTTAATAAGGAAAAGAAAAGTAAAAAAAATGAAAGCCGTTTACAACTCCCGGTAACGTGGAATTAGAGCGCAGCTCTTGAGGAGGAGGAGGAGGGGAAGGTACGGAGAGGAGGCTATACTCCTCCTCCTCTCCTGCTCGGCTCCCATTTAGGGGAAAATGTTCCGCTAAATTTAGCGAGGAAATATTTCCGCTAGATTTAGCGGGAAAATTTTACCGCTAGATTTATCGGGGACAACTATCCGATAATTTTAGCGGGGAAAAGTTTTCCGCTAAATTTAGCGGAAAAATTCTTGCGCTAGATTTAGGGGAAATTTTTCGTCTAGATTTAGCGGGGGACTTTTTCCGCTAGATTTAGCGGGGAAAATTTTTCCGCTAGATTTAACGGGAAAATTTTTCCGCTATATTTAGCGGAAAAATTTACCCATAATGCACCGCGCTGTTACGCCGACGGCGACGCCGACGCCGCTCAAGCCGGAAACGGGCACCTAAGAGCTGCGCTCTAAAAATGTGGTTTGAAGAATGGTTACTTGCAATATCAGCAGAGTAAGTACACCCAAAGCCCTTCACTCTTTCAACTTAGCATAACGAACGCTGGAAAAGAGGTGCGGGATTAGAATTCACCAAGTAAGAACCGTAGGAAAATATCAGAAGAGCTCGCTTCTTTTCCTCTTCAGTTGCAACGGTTTCCGTGCAGATCAGGCAGCCTTAGTTAGTGCAGACCGGTTCGGCTCTGCTCTCCAATCTCCCCACCCTAGATGACTTGGAGCACTTAGACCACGCAGCTTGAGGAACACCCTGACAGCAAAACAGGGTTCATTTAGGACAGACCCCTTTTCTCAAGTATCACACGTGATTGATGACCTCGAGTGCCTATCCGAATCACTAGAGACGATAATGTGTTTGCGGTATTCAGGAAGGTAACGCTGAATACGTGAGGAGTTCAAGAAAAAGGGAGGGGCCTAAACTAGCACAGGCACTACTATTTACTTTCTCAAGAAACTGCACTTCATAAAATTATTCATTTTGTTGTGTTTCTGTATTTGTATTATGGGATAGTTTCATGCCGTTTCCACAGAAGTATCCCAGGGATATCCCGACAGATAAAGACAAACGTATCTCAGTATTGCACTTTGACCTCGAAATACATATATCACAGTACCTGTATTCCCGAAACTTTTTCAGTATTTCTGCACAGACCTGTCGGACCACAGCCGACTTTGTTTCAGACATAATCATGCCACCTCATAACTATACTAATGAGTTCGTCAATCATAGACAGAAGTACTCAAGGATACACGCGTAAAATGTTTCACGGACCACTATATTTTGAAGATAACTGGCCCTTTTCAGCAGAATATCCTCTTTCGTTTTCTCTCTTGTAGTGCGTATCAGACAAGCCTTTTTTAAGCCTTGGCTGAATATGGTTCTCTCGAGAAAGTACCTTTCTAAATATTTTGTTCGTAGACACTCACAAAGATATATATTTTTGCGTTAGTTCCTTAAACTTAACTTGTTACAGAAAGAATAAACAAAAACGACGGACAAGGACGGACATCTTTCGACTCCCCCTCTCCCTCCATTCTTTCACTTTTCCGTTCCTTCCCCCCTTTCCCTCATGGTCCACCGATTAATGACCGCCAGATGTGGAGTTTGGAGGAGAGAGAAATGTAGAGGAGGAGAGTTGCCAAAAGTAACGCGGCTACACACGATTCCGTTTTTTTGTTTTTTGTTTTTTTTTTGTTTCTTGGCAGTGCGAAGCAGACGAAAAGCGCGCAAATGTCAAGCAATTTGTCCTTTATGTTTTCGGGTTCTTCAAGCTCCTACTAATCTATGTACGTAAGACGGGCGATGTCTTCAGCCAGGAGAAAAGGCGACGACTCTGCGACGTTTTCGTGCGAATCAGCTTCGTGGTCCGGCGTGTCGCACGGAATAACTACCGAATTCGAACGGCAAAAAAATTTATCTTTCAAAGCTAGACAGATTTGCCGGTACCGCCAGCAACGGTTCTGAAGGCGAGGACCCACGGCCATCGTCCACCACAATCACTTAGTCCGCTTTGTCCATCCGTCCAGCCCGGGACTCTAGCGATACGACGCCATGTTGGGAATTACGCAGTACGTATGCTTCCAGTTCTCTGTGACAGCTTTCCTTCATGCGAAATCATTAGCTGTCCCGTGGAGCGTCGCCGGCGTTGTCTGTGACCGCGGAGAACGGTTCCTGAACAAACGGCAGTTGAAATGGCTGCATGGAGTGCAGCCGGCGTTGTCTGTGACCGCGGAGAATGGCTCCTGAATAAACGGCAGCACGGTGTAAACGGCAGGTAAAATGGCTGGGACGCGTCATAGTTCGAAAGAACCCCATATCACAGAGAGGCCCTCTTCCTGGCGCTGCGGCCCGTGCGCTTCAAAAGGGAGAGGTTGGCGCTACATTCACGTACTTGTCTCAAGATTTATTGGCTGCATTAGACCACTAATTTGCGTTATCATCCGTCCAATCAAATTATTACGGCACAAATAACCTTGCCATAACACACGACATTTTTCCAAAGCTAGTATTTTCGCAAAAAATTACACAACCTGGGAAATTTTAAAGTTCTTGAACGAACCTTGTACGACACTGGGCAATCTTGAAATAAAAAAAAAACAGCGTAACTTGTCCAAAAGAAAAGGAAATTTACAACAGAACGTCGCATACACTTTAATTTCAAAAGGCACTCGTGTGGAGAATGTGTACCAATGTAAAGAACAGCTTACTACAAAATATAGGTTTACCTTTATGAAAAAAATATTTGTGCCCTCAGAAAGTAGCTTCAAACGTAAAACAAAAAATTAATGCTAAATTACGTTGCATCGTGAAACTCAGTTTGTGCAGCCGACGGCTACGCTGGAGTACTAGTGAGGTACTTCAGTGTCACGAACATTAGCAACCCCGTGAACGAGCAAGTAAACAATAAACATGTCGGGCAATGGAATCGATAGCAGGACTCGTCAACGTATCAAACCAAACGATATGCAGCTGCAGAACCACAACAGCTCTGAACGTCAGCAGCTACGAGAGAGCCGCTGTCAATCCGGGCGGGTCCGCGGGTCCCCCAGCCGGTCCTTTAATCATGTGTGCCATGTCAAGCCATGTGTTAGAGAGAAACAAATTGCTTAGTGCAGCGTTGTGAGGAAGGCGCGAGCATGTGGCACCATAAAAACGAACTTTCTGGCACGAGTGTTTGTACAAAGTGATTTTCGGGGCTAAGCTCCCTGGTCTCTGATGTGCAGCGTGTCCCGAAATAAAACAGGCACCGTAAAACTCCGCATTTCTTAAAAACAAAAAAAATGTTTTTGATCTGCTAGGGTTTAAGGTGTTTTATATCTTGGGCAGAGACTTTGCCGCAGGCCAGAAACTTCCGCTCGATTTTGCTGCTGGCGACTGTCGACTGGACGGCCAGCCGGACGTAACCCCCTTCACCAGGCAAGAGATTTGCATTATACGGCGCAACACTCCCCGCCCACTACAAATCAACGAGGCCTGCCACAGCCCTTCCTGCCTGCGTCCCAGACGCCCTGCAGGCGTGCCCAGTATCCAGCGTACAGAAACAACAGCTGAAGAGCATCTCGCAGCCGTTCACACTGATGTTCACGGAAGTTCCGGGCAAGACCGACGTGCTGGTACATCCCATCGATACTGGTGACGCTCGACCACTCCGGTGCCACCCAAGGCCACTCAGCGTCCACAAGCGAGCCTTTTCGTGGACGCAGCGCTAAAAGCGATGATCGACACCGGAGCTGTCCGCTACTCCCAGACTCCTCCGGCTACTCCGGTCGTCTTGGCTCCAAGAATAAGAAAAGACGGCCCAGTACGCCTTTGAGAGGTGTTACGCAGTGGCGTAAGCAGAGGAGTGTCTTTTGAGGCTTCAGCACCCCCCGCCCCCTTCCCGGAATCCAGTCGACCCTATATTATAGTCATGCATTTTGACCCCCCCTTTTTCCCCACCTCAAGTCATAGACATCCCAGACTCCTCAGCCACCCCCTCAACCCTACCCTCAATCCGGCAAAAAAACTCTGGCTACGCCACTACTGTCGCTGTGAGAGATTAATACCCGTTTCCTCCGATCAAGTCTATCATGTACGCGATCGGCACCGCCAAAGTGTTCGCCACGCTTACTGCAGTCGAGGATTCCTGTAAATCGAGACAGACCCAGCTGATGTTCCGAAAATTGTTTTCACTTGTCTCAAGGGATTGTTCGAGTTCACCCGGATTTATATCGGTCTGTCCAACTCATCCGATACCTTTCAGCGCCTAATGAACATTGTTCTCGATGAAGCGAAGTGCATGTTCGCATAAACCTATATAACTGACGCCGTAATTTTTTTTTTTTTTCAGTCTTTTGAGGAACACCTGAAGCACCTTAGGAACGGTCTCGGCGCTTGCGAACTACTGGTTTGACAATTCATCCTGGAAAGATGCAACTCGCTGCACCGCAACTTAACCTTTTTGGTTTAGTAATGAATAACTGAGTTCTCCGGCCTAGTGAGG